CAAAGGAGAGTGTGAGATATTCAAATGAGCGCTCCATTTGCATTTCCTCTTCCGCAAAAACCCCACAGTGTAGATGTAGACTGAGTGGCTACTCAGGAGAGATTCAACTACTGCCCAGATGATTAGCAGAGTGCCTGCAGCTAGGCTTTTTGTTTCTACTGGTGGTGAACATTCATACATGCCTTGATGCACGTACAAAATGTATTCCATGCATGGATGGAAAAGATTAAAGGGAACATTGACCATGAAGACATTCTAAGAAAAGGCAATAGAGTGCTTTTGTATACAATTCAGATACATCTGAATTCTCCAACATTTCATTACAAAAAGAGAGAGTCGCTCATCATTTCACCAGGCAGACCCTAAAAACCTGCACAATCCTATTAGCTGATTAGTATGATATCATTTTGAATTAAAAGCATGTGATTCTAAAACTTCTATGTGCTTGATTTAATAATTATTTCTCCACTTGTGCAAGAGTGTCAGGGTACGTCTAGACTACTGGGTTTTGTCGACAGAAGTTTTGTCGACAGTATCTGTCGACAAAACTTCTGTCGACAAAGAGTGTCCAGACACATTGAGTTCTGTCGACAAAGCAAGCTGCTTTGTCGACAGAACCCTGTAGTCTAGACGCAACCCTACAGGCAATAACACCTTCTGTCGACAGAACTCTGTCGACAGAAGGTGTTATGCCTCGTAAAATGAGGTTTACCAGCATCGACAAAACTGCTGAGTTCTGTCGACGTTATGTCGACAGAACTCAGCGGTAGTGTAGACGCTGGTATAGTTTTGTCGACAAAAGTCCACTTTTGTCGACAAAACTCAGTAGTCTAGACACACCCTCAGAAGACACAGTCATATGGGAAGGGAAATATGCTAAGTAAACAGAGTCTAATCAAGATTGTATATGCCGAGAAACTTAAGGCAGAATACCAAAGAAGGGAGCTATTAAGAAATCATTCTCAGAGTTATACTCCCTTAAAACAAAGATTTGAGTGAACTTCTGCTTTTAATTGATTATATTAAAATAAAGATATTCTTTCTTAACTCCCCTGTGAAGCATTGAAGAAATTCTTCTGTTAACCTCATACACCAATGTAATTATTTTGACCAGGGATTTATTGGTGCCAACTGCCAGAAGACACAGATTTCTATGGGGATACTCTGAGTCAGATATTGGCATCACTAAAAGGTGGCATGGGAGGTATCTATCAAAAGTCAGTTGCCCACAGACATAATCATTGCAAAATTTATGTACAGATAATATATTTAAGGAGTTATTTATCTATACAAAACATTATGTTCTTAAGGACTTAGAGTCACCAGAAGGTGGCATACCTTGCAAATATTCCTTTCAGGCAGGAGGAAGCTGATGTTTATCTCCCTGTCTAGTCATTTGTGTATTATATGAGGCCTATTTGCATACTGAGCCACAGGCAAAAGTAGTGATTAAAATTCACAAGATGACACCAACTGAAGAGATGTCCTAATTATGAATAAGAATAAAGAATGGGGCTCATATTCCTTGGAGGGCAAAGAAACACAAGGATCCTTCACCTAGGATGCAAGCTGATAGCATGGCTGTCTCATGAAAAGAAGGTCACAGTGATGAGCAGCAAGGATTTTGGACAACCACAATTCTACAAAACACAACGGTATCTTGTTAATTAAGTCTAGCCATTATATGGGTGTAATGATTTTATTTTTTGTGTTACCATTAGTTGCTAACACTTCCACTCACTATTACCTGAATCTCAGAACTTTATTAAATACGCTTACGTTTGATTTCACTGTGAACCTATCTGAGACTGTCTATACTACAGAGAAAAGTCAGAAAAAGATACACAAATTACGAACTGCAATTTGCGTATCTTTTTCCGCTTTTCTTCCGAAAGAGGCTTTTCCAACATTTAGCCCATCTAAATGGGGCCAAATATCAGAATAAACCCTCCTTCGGAACATCCCTTCTTCCTCGTAAAACGAGGTTTACAGGGATGCCGACAAAACGCATCCACTTTTCTGACTTTTTTTGTGGAAAAACAGACGCATTCCTTGGATGTGACAGAGCTTTTCTGGGATACCTCTGGTATCCCAGAAAAGCTCTGTAGTCTAGATGTATCCTAAGCACTGTGTATCAAGCAGGGTGATCTGGGGTGTAGCTGGTCAGATGCACTGTTCCTCTCAAGTACAGGTAGTCCCCGGGTTACATGGATCTGACTTACATCAGATCCCTACTTACAAACGGGGTGAGGCAACCCCGCACTAGCTGCTTCCCCCCAGCAGACCAGGGAGATGCGAAGCTAGCGCCCGCCCCAGCAGACCAGGGAGATGCGGAGCGGCTTTTCTCAGCAGACACCTCAGCTTGAGAATAAAGGACTGAGGGAAGTGAGGTGTGGGAGAATAAAACTGAGCTCTGGAGAAATGTTTGGCTAGAGTTTCCCCTACAATATGTACCAGTTCCGACTTACATACAAATTCAACTTAAGAACAAACCTACAGTCCCTATCTTGTAAGTAACCCGGGGACTGCCTGTACTGAATACTGTGGTTGTCCATAGACCAGAGTCTGAATAGGCCATGTACTGCAAAAGCAGGGCCAGCACTTCAGTAGGACTGCTAGCAATATAAGAGTGCCACAGTGCTGAATAACCAATGCTGAGACAGCTGTGATTTTCTTTCATTTGTACAGTGCTCAAGAAGGAACTCAAATGAATTAAAACGAAGCCACTCAATCACTAAGCAAAAGAGGGTTCCCTATCCTAGAATATTTTAAAGAATTTTTCTGAACAGGTGCAGCTCTATCAGTGCTACTAAGGGTAGAATCTAGTGCAGAAAGGCAAAGGGATTTGTTGTACAGGCAGTCCCCGGGTTACGTACAAGATAGGGACTGTAGGTTTGTTCTTAAGTTGAATTTGTATGTAAGTCGGAACTGGTACATATTGTAGGGGAAACTCTAGCCAAACATTTCTCCAGAGCTCAGTTTTATTCTCCCACACCTCACTTCCCTCAGTCCTTTATTCTCAAGCTGAGGTAAGTGAGGTGTGGGAGAATAAAACTGAGCTCTGGAGAAATGTTTGGCTAGAGTTTCCCCTACAATATGTACCAGTTCCGACTTACATACAAATTCAACTTAAGAACAAACCTACAGTTCCTATCTTGTACGTAACCCGGGGACTGCCTGTACTGAATACTGTGGTTGTCCATAGACCAGAGTCTGAATAGGCCAGGGAGACACTCAGAGGGCATAAGTGTTGGAATGCACCTATCACTAGCCTGTGGAAAAGTAGCTGGGCCTGTAGGACCTAGAGGGGAGGACCTGTGTTGCCCATGTCCAGTAGAGTTGGGAAGCTGACCTTTGGCAGGTATAGTCAAGGCTTCCTCATCCTTAAGGCAGGTGCCAGCAAGGTGTCTGACAAACCTGGGAAATCAGGTAGTTTGAACCACTGATCAAATGTCAATTGTAACTTTAATCTGACAAATGTACCATGTTCTATTTGATTGGTTTAGGGAAATTAGAAGTAAAATAATTAGTGATGAATCTGCTTAGATTCATATTAGTTTGTTTATTCTTTTAACAAATCCATAAAAGCTAGATTGGATCCTCTCTTAAAACGTCAGAGTAGGAAAACAACCTGCTTACATTGAGTAGCCCCAGACCTATATTTTAATTATTTGATTAAAATTCCTATATAATTATGGCAGGTCTCCAAAGAAAAAGCAAAGATGACATTATGTAAGAAGTATAGCACCCTAGATATACTTGGGGGCAGACCCACAGCTGGCAGAAAATTGTAGTGGAGCTGACAATTTATCATCATTTTCAGATTTTAAGGCTTGTTATGGTGGTTTGCATTGGATATAAGTGCAGCACAGGTGTTCTGCTAGTTTTCTGCACTGAAATGAATTTCACCCTCTCCACACTATTTGGGTACATTAATACAAGTGGCAGAGAACTGCATACTACATGGTCATTATCACACATAAACCTCACAGAATACAGAGATTCAGAAATAATTTGAAGGAGAGAGAAAGATTGTTTGCAATTCATTACTTGTAAGAGGGAGGATGAAAAGAGAGTCAAGAATAGGCTTTGGAAGTACTGGTAGTTATGAGAATGGCTTTGGCTGAGTGCAGGGAATGGACAGGTTGAAGTAGAAGGCAGATGTGTGCACATCTTGTGCTCATTTAACACTTCTACTCCATTTTGATTACTCACCTATGCATCTTGTTCCTTCTTCATTGAGATGATAACCTCGTCCACAGTTCAGTACATTTCTTTGGCAGGTATATGAGCCTTCTGTATTAATGCACATCTGTCCAGCTGGGCATGGCATGTTAATGCTTAAGCACTCATTGATATCTACAATGACATACAAATTCAATTAAAGAAACCCCAGCTCAGTTTGCAGACATTTTAAGTTAAGATACTGTCCTTTCACCCATAACAGGAGGAGACTGCAAAGACAAAAAGGGTGGGTAATGCCCAAATAACATTGAAAGTCAATGGGAGTTGGGAACATAACTCCTACTTTTGCCTCCGGAAATAGAAAACAAAAGCATGAGCAAAGATGTAACCAACTGCTTATGCACAGACTAAAGAGCAGAAGTGCTTATTTGCAAACCACTCATCTCTGTCACCCATGTAATGCTTTACTGTTCTCCACAAATGGGCATTTGCTCACTTTGTGACTGTATGATATATGTTCTTCCCTGTCATAAAAACTTAAAAGACCCTTAAAATGTCATGACATGAGGCCAAAGAACCTCAGACTGCCATATCCCCACTAGCCAGAAAACGGATTCACCACATATTTCAAGAGGAAACTTCCAAATAAAGCCCAGCACATAGTAGTGGTTGAGTTAATGGCTGAAATTAAGATTTCAGTGGTAGTCTAGGAATTAGAGTTCCAGCATGTTGATACCAGGGGCAGTGTGCTGTGAGAACCCACATCTCTTGCATACTCTTCTCTATTCCACACTCACTCTGGGCTGGAAGATGGAAGCTCTTTGATAGTAAACCATAACCCTGTAGAAGAACGTAGGCTACAAACTGAAGAAGGTGTTTACCTGAAACTACAGAAGGAGGGCTTTAGGCAGGTAATTAACTAAACTGATATGGAATTTGGCTAGGATGCTGTATATTTACAGAAAGCGCTATACCCACACAAAATTAAAGAGCTGACAATGTACGGGTATAGCGCTTTCTGTAAATGTACAGCATCCTAGCCAAATTCCATATCAGTTTAGTTAATTACCTGCCTAAAGCCCTCCTTCTGTAGTTTCAGGTAAACACCTTCTTCAGTTTGTAGCCTACGTTCTTCTACAGGGTTATGGTTTACTATCAAAGAGCTTCCATCTTCCAGCCCAGAGTGAGTGTGGAATAGAGCAGAGTATCCACCTGACAAAGGGCTGCCTGACTCTAGATGGCCAGTACAGCAGTGGGATTGGTTAATCTATGCCAGACTATACTTTATTGCTCCTCCCTGTAGCACCTGCTGCTGAGCCAAGTTCCAACCTCACGGACTTCATTCACGTGGGCACATACAGGCCTGCCAATGAGAGAGAGCGGAGAGGAAATGGGGCAGCTTCCCTGGGGCCTGGTGATCTAAAAGGGCCCAGGGCTCCTGGACATCAATGGTACCATCGCAGTAACAACAGTCGCTGGAACCCTGGGCCCTTTAAATCACTGCCAGAGTCCTGGGCAGTGGGTGCTGAAGGGCTCTTCTACCTGAGGCCCTGCCCTTTCTAGGGCCTCGAATCATCCCCTTCATTTGCCCAGGGCTCAGCACAGTCTGTCGGCTGCCCACAGCACATAGAGTGCCAGCAGACATTTCAGCCAGCTCTGAAGAGTGCAAGGAGAGTGCCCTACTCTGAAGCTGTGGATCGGAAAGGTAGGAAAGTTCCTATTCTCTTTCCTGTTCACCACAACACAGAGCAGCATTTGATACATAGTTCCTACAACCAGTATGTGAAGTGTTTGTGGAGATTCTTCTCGATCAGGGCTACTCAACTTTGGAAGCCCCAAGGGGTCACAATGATACTCACAGGACATGCCGAGGGCCACAACTTAAGTGTAGTTGCATATATATGCAAATAGCTTCTTTCACACTGACGGGCATGAATACAAAGATTAAAGCAAAAAAGACTACACAACACACAGGCCCCATTTAAGTCAGTTCTGCTGATATTAATAAAATGCAACATTTACCTGATTTCCACTCATATGACAGCACTTTTAATGAGCAATGACAGTCCAGGAATGTAACTACTAAAACACATATCAACAGAAGATCATTATATTGACTGCTGTTTTGTTTTGGCTCCCACACTTGAGCCACATGTTCAGCCTCATGTAAACCCAAACCGCACCCTGGGCCGCAAACAAACAGGCCACAGTCCACGTGTTGAGTAGCCCTATTCTAGATGGGTCATGGAAGGCAGTGTAAGGGCCAGATTCACAGCTAGTGTAAACTGGGGTAGTACCACTTAACCAGCTGATGATCTGTCCCCTATCTTTAAGAGTTAAGGTATCTGATCCTACAGAGCCGGCTTCTGTGATGTTAGCTGTTTAGGATATGATCATGTAGAACATTGTTGTTACAACTGTTACATAATTGCAACAAATCTTCTACAAGGTTAAGCAAGGTGTCAATAGAGAAGTTATGATTTGATGATAATGGTTATGCTGTTTGTATGCATGTATCATTTTTGTATCTAAAGTCATGATTATTAACTATATTTCAAATGTTGGCTCATGTGGTAAACCCACAAGGTATTTAGCATGCACATTATGAGGGACTATTCATCTTAAATGGTCCATGAAAGAACACTTAACTCACAGTAGACCATGGACCCACTCAATGGGTCTTCCCAACTAGAGCAGGGATCAGCAATCTTTTCAAACCAAAAAGCCAAACTACATCAAAATTCAGAACAAGTGGTCATCAAAGAGCCAGTACATAAGAATGCCCGTTTGCATGACTGAAAATATACAACTTAATATTATTGATAATTGACATGATTTTTGATAATAGCATAAATGAAACATTGTACTCATAGACTTCTGCTGCTGCTGGGAGTGCAGTTTGTGGATATGGGGGTGCAGAAGGCAGGGCAGGGCACTAGGGGTTGCAAATAGAGTATGGGGAAGGGACCCTGAGGCTGGATTACCTTACCTGCCCAGAGCTGGGCTGCTGCACCTAGGCAGCAGCAGCTGAACCAGAGGTGGGACCAGGACCACCACAGCCAGATCGTGGCCTCCCCTCCTACCCATGCTGCAATAGGAGGGGGGCTGCCACTGCCAGCCCCTTCTGTGGCCAGATGGGGGACAGACTATGGGGCCTGTCCCAGGATCGAGGCTGGAGGACAGGATGCTGCAGCCAGATGAGGGCTGGGAACTTTTACTTTCTCATGTTAGTTTACCAAACTTTATTTTAAATAAAGTGAAATGTTATGCCCAGCACAAAAGGTTTCAACATTGTCTTTATTTATGGCAGGGGTGGGGAATCTTTTTAGGGTCAGGGGCCACTGACCCACAAAAAAATCAGCTGGGGACCACACAAGTGAAAAGCAAATAAACAACCCCTCCAAAACCTCAATCTCTCACTGCTGTGGCCCCCAACTGAGGCACCTCACTCCCCTGGCACTCCATGTGGAGGGCAGGGAGGATTGAGGTTCAAGGTCTCAGGCCAAATTAACTCTTCTCGGTTCCAGGAGATTTTGTGGGGCCCCCATGCTCTGGGATGGGACCAAAAAATAAGGGGTACAGTGTGCAGGACAGAGCTGTCAGTGAGTGGGATAGGGATGGGAGTGTAGGATCTGGGTGAGAGGTAAGGTGCATGGGAGAGGGGGAAGGAGCAGGCTGGGGGGGGGGATGCAGAAGCAGGCTGGAGATAGGTCTCTGGCCAGGAGGGAGGGGGCAGGAGCAGGCTGGCAACAGGGTGTCTGGCCAGGGGGTAGGTGCAGGGTGCAGATGGGTGTCTGGCCAGGGGAGGGTGCAGGAGCAGGCTGGGAGGGGTGGTGGCAATTATTTGCTGAGGTTCCCTATCCCGGACATGGCTTCCTGCTGCTCCACTGGTCAGATTCTGACCAATGGAGCAGCGGGAAAAGCCTCCAGGCAGCGTGTCTGCGAGCTACTGTTCCCCCACTTGGGGGAGGGGGAGCGCACATGTACAGAGTCATTTGTAGTTCCACTTCTTTCCCAATCATGCAGCAAGACTCGGGGCTTTCTCCACCCCCACAGGAAGCTGGTGCTGGCTCCAATCTTGGGAGGAGCGCGAAGCTTGAGTGCCAGCATGGGCTCTCCATTGCAGGGGGAGAACATGGGGGGACTGAGCTTGAGCTGCAAGTCATATCTGGCTCCTAAGTGAGCCATATTTGGCTTGTGATCCATAGGCTGTCTACCCCTGAACTAGAGTATGGTACCTCTACTATGATTAAGTGAAGCGTGCGTGTATATGTAATTTGCCAACATGACTCCAAACACTATCTTGTCACCTGTAATTTTCCACTAATTGTGCGGAAGGCTTAGTTTGAAACAATGGATTTCCTCCATACTACAGAAGCTAAAAAAGGTGCCTTCATTTTGCCTCATTCCTACTCAAAAGTGTGGATTTGTGAGCATTCTAATCTAGGGACTAAGGATCTTCTAAAGATTTAGAAACAAGCACAGACTTAACAAGCCAGCAGTTTATTTCATTTTCTATAAGCCTGAATCAAGAACTTTGCAATGATTGTGTGTATTTGATTTTTTTTACCCAATTTTAACTTTCACCTATTTCTTTTTTTCTTATAAACCTTTAGATACTAAAATATTGGCAGATGTGCAATTTTTGGGGAAGATCTGAGTTACATATTTACCTGGTCCTTCAGGATCAGAAGAACGCTCTGGTAGATGAAATTGGTTTAAATAACCATTCATCATTATGTGTAGGCTATGTCTACACTCACGGCTTCTTGAGCAAGCACGGCCGTTCTTGCGCAAGAATCTGCAGAGCATCCACACTGCCCGCCCGCTCTTGCGCAAGTAAATTTACAGTACAGCGTGGTAAGAGGGGGCTCCTTGCACAAGAGCTACACTCTTTTTTGACAGGTGTAAACCCTCTTGCTCAAGAGCTCTTGCACAAGAGGGCAGTGTGGACGCTCAGCAGGGATTTCTTGCGCAAGAAAGCCCTGTGGCTAAAATGGCCATCAGAGCTTTCTTGCGCAAGAAAGCATCCACACTGCCATGGGCGCTCTTGTGCAAAAGCACAGCTCTCACATGGCAGTGTGGACGTTTTCTTGAGCAAGAGTTCTTGCACAAGAACACTTGCGCAAGATGTTCTTGCTCAAGAAGCCGCGAGTGTAGACATAGCCGTAGTGTTCTTGGTCATGATACAAGGACTGGAATACCTAAAGGCTGCACTGCTGATTTCTTGTTAACCAGTGTGGTGAAACACTGCTTTTGTTTCTGGATTGGTATATTTTATGGGAGAGCAACAACCAGTGCGGGGGCATGTCTGCTCTATTTTTCAGCAGTTTGTCCTGAATTTGGTACTCTCAGTTATGACCCACTAAGCCATGGTGACAGCTTCATTTTATGAAGTGTAATTTTACACTCAGATAATTTTGTTTTCAGCCTTGTATTTTTCAAATGTCAGTTTTCAGCAAAGGAAAAAAGGTTGACAGGAAAATGGGAGTTTGATTGCATGCTACAGCATTGGCAAATCCAGTTGCTCAGCAGATTTCATGAGTCCAAAACAGGCTATTTTTTGAAGGAATTAGAAGTTAAATTGAGGCTTGAAGTACTACTTTCACAAGAAGAGCTGATAGATTTGTAGGACACACCAGGCAAATCTATTTAAAGTCTGTTGAAAGCCAATTATTCTGACATATATAGAATTTTAGTTTGTCAGGTTAGATCCTACATGTCCTAGAATGCAAAATATTAATACCCTTAAACCCAACAGTTTCTATTCTGTCTCTCAAGGTAAACCCCACTTCCATTATAATTGGCTCTAATTATCATGCCAATAGGTTGTTACATTCTTTACCTGAGGCCCAGTCTTAAGGTGAAAAATTCTTACCTGCCTATGAACTATTTATATATAAGAGCTTACTTGGGAAAGCAAGATCAGTTATATGTAGCTGACCAACACAGCAAAACCAAATGCCATTGTAAAGGATACTCTAAAGCTAACATAATACCACGCATTGGACTTTCAGTTCTAAATAATGTTTTCCAGGTACACTGAAAATAAAACAATAAGTAATGGACTTAATCTGCAGCAAGGGAGGTTTACATTATATACAGTTGTCTAACTATAAGGGTAGTTAAGCTCTGAAATAGGATTCCAAGGGATATTGTGGAATCCTCATTACTAGAAGTTTTTAATAACATGTTGGACAAACACCTTTCTGTAATGGTCTAATTTTTCTTGGTCCTGCCTGAGTGCAGGAAGCTGGACCTGATGACTTCTCAAGACCTCTTCAAGTCCTATATTTCTATGATTGTATGATTATTTAAAATCATTTGAAAAAAGGGAGAAAAATTATGTAAAAATCATTAATATTTTTACAAATTCTGTGTAAAGGACTCCCGAGCTTTTGAATATTTTATCTTAGGTAACAGAGTGTCTACATCCTATTGACTTTCAGTGAGATTAGGTTTCTATTGCCTAAGTTTCTTTTGAAAAATCAGACTTAAAATCCTAAGTCACTTATGATCAAATCCAACTTTTAAGGGGAGCAGGGAGAGAATATAATAAACAAAGATGAACATCAGCACTAGAATTCAAATGGGAGGCTCTGATCTGACCCCATGCACTAATACATTGGCCTACACACACCTTTAAGAAGTCATTTAAGTGACAAAATATGTCTTACCAATACAGTTGCCTAGTGCATCTTGTATAAACCCACTCGTGCACCGTAGCTTGGGTCGGCAACGGAAAGATCCCGGAGTATTCTGACAGATAAAATCGGGGAGGCAGTTATGAGTACCAGTCTCACATTCGTCAATATCTGGTACATCACAAAAAAAAAAAAAATAGTTAGCAAGAGTTTTACACAAGATTTTTATAACACTTAAGACAGAAGACAGAGTTAGAAAATATAGGCCCATTTCACGCTGGCTATAATGTCAGTCATCATTTCAATATAATTACACTAGAAATGAATTTGGCCCATTATCTTTACAGTAATCTGACAGAAATAGGAAGCAGGTTACTTATCTTTATTATATTATTAAATTAGACAACTAAATAATTTGCAATTTTCAGTGTCCGCAGCGGTATTTTCAAAGGCCCTCATTCAACACAGCACTTAAGCACATGCTCAAATCCCAATGAAGTCAATGAGAGCTAAGCATTTGACTAAGTGTTTTGCTGAATAAAGGCCTAAATCCTGAAGTCTTTAATTTTATTCAGTTTCAAGTAAACTCATAAGCCTTCATTCTCATTTTAAACTAAGACCTGTCTACATCGATATGGCTTAACATGAAATGAAGTGTAATTTATGCTCATTTGGGCCCCTTTCCACTGTCAAGGTACAGCTAAACTGCGAGAATCTATTGGAAAAAGATATGCAAAATGTGCTCCACATTTTGGTAATTGATTCTGAAAAGATCTTTGCCTATGTGAAAACAGAGCAAACACTTCAAATTTCAGCCTTATATTTTTCCTAGAATAAAAATTCTTTGGCGTAATAAAAAAGTAGATATATTCTACCAAATGCAGCTTAATTGAAAAAAAAAGGAATTTCAATTACATGAACACTGGAAGTGTTTTCTGTAGTACTAATGATCCTTATAAAAAGCCTTTTAGCATTTAATAGGGAGAAAATAGGTAGCTCTATATTTGGTGGAACTGTGTTATAAGGCTAAAGTTTTTTATTTGATTTTAAATAACAGTTAAAAATAAATAAAGGTTATCATGCTTTGTTAATTGTTTTTAAACTTTATATTTTTTATCAACGTCATATATGAACATTCCATACAAGTACTAACAAATCTTATTCATAACACTTATGTGTTACCTTTAAAAGACCCCATTGTGTTTGGGCAATTTCTTATCTTTATATGTGTAGTTACTTTGTTTAAACTTTAAAAAATGGTAACCAGAAATTATAAAATCCATTTAATCCTGATGTAAGGTATCTGTCATTTTTTCCATTGAAAAGTACTTCATATTTCCCCCATGCCATTAACATTGAAAGATGTCCTTTTTAAAAAAATCAGCTATCATGCATCTGGCCTCTAGGCATTTTCCTTGTGGGAATACATAATTTTTTAAAAACTGTCAAAGCAATATTAGAAATGTCTGGCCTGATATAATTCCTAGATGATAATTCCTAGATGATAATTTGGACATTCATACAGGTTGGACCTGCCTTTTCCAGCACCCCCAGGACTTAGCTGTTCCTTTTTAAAAAAATCAGCTATCATGCATCTGGCCTCTAGGCATTTTCCTTGTGGGAATACATAATTTTTTAAAAACTGTCAAAGCAATATTAGAAATGTCTGGCCTGATATAATTCCTAGATGATAATTCCTAGATGATAATTTGGACATTCATACAGGTTGGACCTGCCTTTTCCAGCACCCCCAGGACTTAGCTGT